TTCTTTTTGGACTTTATTTAAATTAAATTCCAAACACCCGACATTTTGTTTGACTTTCCTCTTTTTTATTTTTTTCTTTTCGGGGAGAGAGTCGGATACCCTCCATCAATAATAAAAATGACGGAATTTTTGCGCAAAATTGTTTGTCACACTTCTCTTGCACACACTAACATACACATAATAATAACAAACAATATAAACTCATAATAGCATAAATATACAAAATATGTCTAAAAATAGTGAGTCTAAGGCAAAGTTCTATGAAAAGTCAAAATAAAATATACACAGGAACAAACTACGGTGCCGGAGGACGTATGCCCATCATATCATAAAATTGCGTCGTACGAGGAGTCACCTCTCCACCAGCTCCAGCTCCAGTCTCCGTAGGAGGAGGAAGACTCAAGGTAGGTCCACTCTAGCCAGGATCAACCTGAGTCTGAGGCTGCGGAGGCTGCTGCGATGACGAGCCTATCTCGTACATCCCACCACCTCTGAAAGCCGAGGTAGCCTCTCCTACCGGTGCAGCATGAGCACCCTCAAAAGAGGATCCCGAGCCCTCTGCAACGTCAACACGAGCAGCCTAAAAGCGACCACCTCTACCCCCTGACTAAGTACGACGTCGTCTCGAGCTAGACCTCGCTGGATCCCTCCGCCCCTCAGTTCTTGTGCGGGTTTGAGAAGCAATAGGTTGGCCCTGCAAAAAGAATTAAATCAGAAACAAGGTAAAATTGAAGCAGCAATGCAAAAAAATAAGTAAAGAAAGGCTACCTCTCGGATGACGTCATCCCGACGGCAAGTAGCCGCATTCCTCATCTGGACGAGCTGGCTCCGGAAGGCATTTATGCATCGTGCCATCGCCGAAACCACCTCGCGTGAAAACTGTCAGAAAAATAAGTCAGTAAATATGCATGATATATGAACACAAAATTGTGAATATCTAGGCTTACTCGAGTCTGGTGGCGAGGAATCGACCGCTCTACGAAGCGCTCGCCCTCGGGAGCCGGAGGAATCATCTCCTCGATCGGACCATACATCCCCTGGTAGTGGATGGACATACAGGGTGGCACGAACTTAGCAGCACCGTCCTAATAAAAAAAGAAAAGGTCAGTAAAACATTACTTGGGGGCTACTTAATGGAAAGTAAAAGATGAAAAATCTTACCCTCACATCCTCAGCCGGTATGGGGGCTGGAGCTAACAAAGGTAGTAGCTCCTCAGCATATCACCGCCCGAGGATCACATAGGACCGCCAAGGGGTACCAGCTCCCTCAGACATGTTCGACAAACGCGCATCATCGAACATATGACGCGGTGGAGGAATAGGAACGACGAAGACATCAGAGGAATGCTTTCTAGCAACCCTCTCTCCTAAGTACGCGATCGCTCCGTAAGTCCCCAAGAAATAGCGACGCTCAGCAGAATACTGTGCAGCTAACCCAGGGATTGTCCAACCGCCCCACGGCCGGTACACCACCTCATGCCCCTACAAAGAACATCAATCAGGCGAGAATATACCTAAAGCACCGTGAAAAGGCAAATAGATAAAAGTCGTACCGCGATGATCCAGTTCCGGACGTGTGTAGTAGACACATCCACGAGGCGGCCGCCCCAAGAGGCGCTCACTAGAAATCCCCGCGGCGATGGTCTCGCCGGCGCAGTAGAAGGGAAGTACTCGTAGAACCAGATCTACAAGGAGTTAAAATTGTGAGTAAATGCTAGCTAAAATGTAGAGCTAGACTTTATAAAGAATAATGTTTACCTCTACGACCTTCCAAAAGGCAGACAAAGCGACGTTCGTCCCAAAGGACCGGTGTCGACACGAGTCCCTCAGCGCACGAACAAAGTCAGCATAGGCCAAGCTGGCTCAGTCATAAGTCCCGATACGATGAAGATCGCGGACAGCAGGAAGATAGTAAAGCAACGCCAAACTACCTTTGTTAGGGGAGAATGTCCCTGACAACAACATCAGCGCAAAGATGCGCACCCGCTGCTCTCGGGTGGTCGCATCGTCATCAAGAGCCGCTGCAAGCGTCGAGCGGCGAATTCTCCTAGAGCTAAACTTAGTCGTCTCGACCTCGGCTTGGGCCCGAATAGCGATCGGCCCCAACAGCTCCTCGACCTCCGAAGAAAAGACGTCGATCTCACTGTCGAACGGCAGTGGCACGGAAGTGAACTCCAGTCCTGTAATGAGACTGAAGTCCGTAGGGGTGACCATCATCTCGCCCCAGGGGAAATGAAAGATGTTGGTGGTGTCCCAGAAGAAATCCACCAAAGCGCGCACTACATGGTGACCCCCGCTGGAGGCAACCATAGCCTTGGAGGTCTCGAACAGAGTAGCTAGTCCGCAAGACTCCCATAGGAGTCTCGTCTCAAGATCTCTGGCGAAGTACATCTTGTACAAATCGCCCAAACCATCACAGCCGGAACCGTGATACCGCGTCCTCCCGACCGTAATGCCCCGTCTCACCCTCTCAGAAATGTGGTGGACGGGGGCGAAGAACAGGGTCCGCTCATCCCACTCGGGAAGTCGACCAAGCGAAGTGGAAGGCGTGACGTCATCCTCTACGGGCTCATGCTCCCGTCTGGTGTTTCGGGACCGTGAACCCGAACCTCGTTGTCTAGTCATGCTACATTGTGCAAAATCATCATAAATTAAGGTTCTATAGTATCTAAGGTTCGCCTAGCTGTATGATACTATGTTCGCAAAAAAACAGAGTACGTAGTACTAAAACAGAGCACAAATTCAAATTGAGCATAACGGCATTTTTCAAGCAATCAAACAATTTCTTGCAACTCTATAGTAATTATTGTGACAAATTGGACAAGAATTGCAAGCAAAAACAACAAGAACAAGTCACATTGTTCTTCACGACCTTAAGAGGTCCAACGATGGCAAATTGCTCATTTCTTCACCAAATTGAGTCAAACAAGTCTCAAATTACTCCCAAGGCAATGTAAAAATATAATCAAGCAATTTCATGGCATAAAACTTGACAAACAAAGAAAATTGAGCATTATAAGTTTCGAATTGAGCATTATGCGGATAGAGATTGTTTCAAGAGAAATAATCTTCGATAGTATTCCCTTGGACGTGGAATATTATCTATGCGGTTGGAGATTGTTTCAAGAGAAATAATCTTCGATAGTATTCCCTTGGACGTGGAATATTATCAATGCGGATGAGGATTTGTTTCAAGAAAAGCAATCTTCGGTGATATTCCCTTGGACGTGGAATATTATCAATGCGGAGGAGGATCGTTTCAGGAGAAGCAATCTTCTAATTTGAGAGCAGTTATAGGCGTGGCGGTTTTCAAGCGGGATGGCATTCTCTAGCTTGTAGAAGGTCATCAAAACAGGAAGGATACAGTAAAGCGGCAACAATCGGTTACTTTCAGAGACGTGTGCTCGACGGTGCAAGATATGCGTTTCTTAACTCTTTTATCTGTTTAACTAACGCTAGTTTTACAGGTATCGGCGTTACAAGATTGGTTTAGGATCGCAGAACGTTCTGAATCATTCTCCGTCCCTATCGTTACTTTGACTTTTGTTTTCGAAACTTGCGTTTCTCCAAACTCAGTCAAAGTGGGGGCTTCTATAGACACCCATTTGTGTCTCCCAAAAACCAAACCCGGTGATGAGTACCTTTCGCGTCGAATCATAGTCGAATGAAGTGAAAGAGTGGAAAGTCTAGTGTTGCGGAAAGTTTTAATTTCTTTTCTCTTCTCTCTGTTTTTGAAAATTTATTTTAAGAAAACAGCCAATCCAGTTTGGTTGGTCCATGATATGGGTCCAATAATAGTTTAGTTGGATGGGGCTTGACAAAAGCTTTCCAACGATATATTATAATCCCAATTCCGATGAATATTGAGGAAATTATGGTCAATTTACTAAACTGGGTCCGGTTTGAGCCTTATATACGGCCCAATGATCTAGGGGGGGCCTAATATGATTTATCATTCCTAATGCAATTAGGAATGGTTTTAATCTTCTAGAATCTTCTAGAAGGTTCTTTTCATTCCTATTCAATTAGCATTGATAAATTGACTTTTGACTTTTCAGAGTTTTAATTAAAATCAAATAGCATTTTTGAGGAAATTATATGATTTTATCCTCCAGTACGGCAAATTTATCTGATTTTCGAAAACGCGTTGAAAATAGGCTTGGCGCCTGGCTTTGGCGCCTCGCGCTAGCCATTAGCGCCTCGCGCCAGTGTTGGTGCCTAGCACCAGTTAGCCAGGGTTTGCGCCAACTCTGTTTTTTGTGCGTCAGACTCTGTTTTGTTTATTTTATCTTTTTGGCTGATTTTCTCTATAAATATCGTATTAAAAACACTGTTTTCAATCATCTACATTCATCAACAATTAGTTTTCATTCGCAATCATTATTTCTTTAGTATTCTCTTAATCATTCATCTTTTTCTTCTAAACTTTGTTTTTAAATACAAAATTCCGCATTCGCAAGATCTAGAAACACCTAGCCATATTCGAAGTTGCCTTCGCCCTAGACGTGAAAGGTTTTAATTTCTGAGGGTTTGGTCCCAAATCTCTCTTTCAATTATTTAATTTGATTGTTTTGTTTATTATTTTCCTTGAAGTTAACTAACGTGTGTATTTTGTTATTAGAAAGAGGTACGAAGCATCAAAGTAAGTACTTTAATGGTTCATGACCTTATGGAGTTGACGATCTCTTGGATCGTTAAGGGGTGTAACCTTCATCCTATGAACGGTTTACAAGTTCCTAAAAAAACTTATTGGCGACTCTTTTGCTCTATCTTCTTCCCTTTTGGACGCCACCGTACTTTAGTGTATGATCACAGTGGAGTTCAAGCTAGTGGGATTAAAGCTTGAATTATTCCCTACAGTAACACTACTGAATCTGTTAAATTATTATTACTTAATATACTTTGTAAGATTGAATAAAGTCACGTGAATTCCAGTTGAAATTGTCTCAACTAGTGATTTTAGAAAATTAAATTTTTATTAATGTTCGCTAACTAGTCAGTAATACAAATAGTAAAAGATTTGCATTAGCAAAATAGGATATTAAAGAGACAGAGGATAACTAAATTCTCTCTCAAGGGTGACAAACATTAGTTGGATTATTCATAAACAGAATTTGCATCAAACCTGCAGAATTCAGATACTGATAGCTAATATATACAGGAGATTTACACTGTTCTAGTTTTTTTATCATCTCAAGGAACAGCTGCAAGTATGCTATCTGCCTCGGATTCCTGAATCTTCTGGGAACAGGAACTGAGGTAGAGATGCTATCCTTGGAAGATGGAGAAGAAGCTCGCCAACTGAATCCTTCCTTGACATGCTTGGTTCCTGTTGGAAATCATTTCCTAGTCCAGCCTCACTTCCCACTGCAAGAATAGTCTTTGTAGTTCGATTTTCACACAGTTGTTCGGCAACCAAATCCTTCCTTGAAGAGCTAGTTTCCTGTTGAAAATTGCCTAAACCAGTCTTGCTTGCTTCTGCAAGAACAGTCTTTGCAGTTTGATTTTCACACAGTTGTTTGGCAGCTTGGGTGTTTCCCACAGCCAGATCTCGCACACTCTCTAAGCTGATCTGTGCATTTTGAACTCCTGCATCATCCATTTGCAGAAGGCAGCAAAGGGAGTTAACTTTTGACATGATACGCTTTTCATCGGAATTTGTTAAAGTTTGGGAGTCATTTAGCAGATACTGAGTGATCTCGTCAAGAATTTCCCACTTTTGAGGTTCATTGATGGAAAGACTAGGATTGTCAGATCTAATCTGCTCTGAGATACAGTCACCAATATGGTTTACAAGATCACCTACTGACATGGATGGATTAAGACCAGGAAGTTTGATCTGGTTCAGAAGTTGGAGTCTATCAGCATCGTTATACTTGCTGCTGACATCTCCTTCCATCACGCGCATATCTGTAGCATTATTTAAATTCATGAGGTTATTCATTACTGTAAGCAATACTTCATAATAGGCAATAGCAAAACTAACTACTGCAATACCACCCCTCAATGGCAAAATGTGCTCCTGCCTGAAGGCTCAGAAATAAGGTGTACTTGTCTAGATAATTATGGGCCAAGGCATTGATTGTGCTAGATCATAAGGAATTGAGCCTAAGCCGATTTGCAGAGGTGCAAACAACACAAACTGGCCATTTGAGGGCTGTTACTATAAGATTCAATCACAAATAGAAGAAATAAACAGATATAAAATGTTCTTCACACAAAATCTGCCAATCTCAGGTTTCAAATTCTAAAGAAAAATATTTGAAAGCAAAATGACTGATAGAGCTGCTTCATAAATCAGGTGGGTTTTCGGTTGGCAGTAAGAAAAATCATCACCCATCTGTAGCTTGAACTACCACCCAGTAATTTTAGTTAACATCTAACATTGTTGAGATTATTAAGTAGGAAATGGCTTGTAATGTAAGGAACCCCATTAATGGAGACACCGACATCCCTCATGACCAACCAGATAGTAGCTGTTCAAGTTAAGGAAGAAAGAGAAGGTCCTAGCCCCCAGGCCATCACGAGAAACATTACCCTACCTAAAGGTATGGTTGGTATAATCAAAACTAGTATCTAAGCATACAAGTATATGAAAATTAGACAGTAAAAGATGGTCCATGTCAGTCCATGTCAGTTCAAATACCTGGAACAAACTGAGAATTTCTGTTTGAGTTCTGTATAGGTGAGCCAATATAGTTCTTGTTCTCAATATCTGAAGAGGATAGCCCAGAAACTGAAACTCCATCCCTGATGCCCGAATAACTAAATGTCCTTTCAGTCTTCAATTCAAAACTATGTGCAGGGTTACTGTGATCACCAAAAATGGAAGCCCTTGGTTGAAAATATGGAGTATCTAATTCTATCTGTGGCTGTTGACTTAGGAAGCTGAGACGAGGATCACATTGTATAAGTTTTTGAAAATGCTTTCCTAAAGTGCCCTGGGGAAACTGTAGAAAATGTTGCCTGCAACAAAAAATGAAGCTATCAGGATGCCATTCAATAAATTCAAACCATTAACATCCCCTACTTATAAGATGGTATCAGAACACCATTCAGAATTGTATCATGTAGATTCAAAAACTATATACGTGTAATTTGAATCAGTAGTCTTAGCAAAATAGCATAAGCCAGCCACACTATAGCCACTCTGGCCCATGGGCTATCTTAAGCCACAGGATCCTATCACGGATATCACCCATAATTGCAAGAACACGTAGCTATATAACAAGGTCCATCTATATTATGAGAACGCCATGACATTGAAACAGTCTAGTCAATCCTGTATTCTGTTTATATTACCGAGGTAGAGCACATGACTCAAAATACTAGCAGCTGATAATTAGTTATGGTCATCAGGTCAAGTGATGTAGCAATAGTGCAGAGGGTTCATCCAATGAACGGATGGTCCAGTGCAGGAATCTTAGCATAATTCTGAAAGCATGAAATCAATCAGTAAGCCGACAGCCCAGCAGTGGGCTATAAGGAAGGAGAAAATAACCCGCTTTCAGAAAAGCAGCAATCCTCAGGTAAATTTCTAAGCCATATCTTAATCAAGAGGCCATTCTTTGATTAGGACACGGCCAATCTATGACAGCTGAAGTAAGAATGCAAATCCACATGAAAACCCCTGTTATAGAGTTCGTAAAGTTTTTCTTTATAATTTCATATTTTCATAACATGACCTGATGAAGGAAAAATTGCAATAAGTAGTCCAAAGTTGTCAGTTTTACCATTAATGAATGTTCAGGGGGATATTCTAGGCAATCAACCAACTCCTATTGTCTTTTTCAGGATTACTAGATCACTATAACTTAAAGGCTATAAATTACTTGTACATAACAGTGGAGTAACGTCTAATAACACAAAAGCAGATCTTAACAATTTAAATGAAAATTTGTATAATATTTAAAAAAAAAAAAAATCCAAAAGCTGATAATAACTTCAATTTACAAATACATGACACAGATGGCAGATTCAGTCTCACCGAATTATTCCTTTAAAAGGAATTCTGAAAATAAATTCGATTGTCTTAACTTTACTCGGCGATTGAATTTATTTCCAGAACAGTGTTGTACAAGAACAGTATAAAGAACAATGTCAATTGAAGTTATTAACTCCAAAGTAACATGTTTATTCATTTAGCAATAGAAAATAGAATCATGGCTTGTTATAGATGTCAGTAATTTGTAGGCTGTTCTTCAGATATTCGGTAATCAACAATCATACTTACACACATAAATTAGGTGCAGCCAGCGACAAAATGAGAAAGAAACCAAATTCCAAATTGAAACAAAAACTCAATCAACTAAAACAATCAATAAGGCTTTGGCAATTGTACCTATGGAGTGAAGCCTGCCCGGTAGTAAAATCTGTTGTCGCCTGCCACAAAGTGTGCTTCCTTGGTTGTGGATTAATTTCTCTGAAGAACAGAGGTTGTCGCGAAAGCTGAACAGAACATAACACCTTCAATCATGACACCATTACAACAAACAACAATATACATTGAACCAACATATTTACTCATAACATACAAGTATACAACTATCTTACCACAACATCTAGTGTTCCAGGTTCATTATCAGGGTAGTTTGCCTTGATAGCCATGATGTCAGACCACTGAATTTCAATCTTATTCTTAAGTCCACCATCCAGAACTTCCCATACAAGCTTGTGCTTAGCAAAATAACACTTTGCCACTAAATCGCCTTCGTACCTTGACTTGTACTGCAATGAAAATACATAGCACATTTTCCTAAATATACTCTACACCACAAAAGGATACCACACACATACAAGTATACAACATTCATTTTCAAACTATACCCAAAGTTTTAACATTAAGAGCCTTAGTAGTTAGTACATATCATAGCATATGACAAACCAAATGCATTAACACCAGATCATATTTACAAGTATAAAGTTCAAAATTTTACCAATAATCATTATGTCAAATAAAAAAAGGAAAATTAATTTATAAACAAACAATAAGAAGTTAAATTAAATAACACCAATTAACACGTAATTTTGTCATAATTTTCGAAATCATAATATACTAGGTTATCTCGTGCGATGCACGGTTAGAATTAATTTATGTCAAATAAATAAGGAAAATTAATTTATAAACAAACATTAAGAAGTTAAATTAAATAACACCAATTAACACGTAATTTTGTCATAATTTTCGAAATCAGAATATAGTAGGTTATCCTATCCCGTGCGATGCACGGTTAGAATTAATTTTTTTTGTAATTTATGTTATGTTGCATTACATTGTATATAAATATTAAAATTAGATATAAAAATAATTTATATTTAAGGATATATATGAACCATATTAATAACAATAAATAATTGAAATAGTCGAAAGAAAATTATTTAAGGATGCATATTAATAAAATCTGAAAAAAAAAAAAAAAAAAAAAAAAAAAAAAAAAAACAGTATACAATTAACACAAATGTCATCAATATTATTATTTTAGCTTCCAACAATTAATCGTTTGTATAGTAGTCTATAGAAGCAATTAACACAGTATACAATTAACACAAATGTCAACAATATTATTATTTGTATAGTAGTCAAAATAAATAGTAGTATAACAATTTTCTAATCAATAAAAATAGAGTAGTTAGTTCAGCTTTAAAAAAAAATAAAGATGATGTTATTAAAGCATCTAGGCGGAATTTTTTTTTATGAGAAACGACGTGTATAATTTTAGAAAAAAATGATGTTAACATGTTTTATTTGTTTTATTTTAGTATTAGTGAATAGATAGATTCGGAAATACATTTAAACTTCATATTCCGTCCATCCCAAATTTGGTGGCCAATTTCGTTTTTATGATTAAACTTTAAAAACTTTGACCAAATTTTCTCATTATATAACTTTTTCATAAGTAAAAAAACATAGTCGTATAAGATAGGAGTATTAGATTTGTATATTGGTCAAATGTACGTATTGGCGTATTGAAGACCAATTTATTATAGTTCACACATATCCGTGTTAAGTTCAACTATGTATATCAAACATTAATTACACTGATTAATGTGTAATTAAAACATACAAACCGGCAATTATCCAAATTAAAAAAATGAAGTACCTCCCAAGAGCCAATTTTAAGCAAAGTAGCAGGAAAATTGGAAGCCTTAAGCTTATTATCAGCAGCAGAAGAAGCACCCTTTTCTTTTCTAGCAAGTGTTTTTGCTAAGGAAGCACTCTTTTCCTGAGACAATTTCATATGGATCAAATCCAAAAATGATGGACTCTTTTTTAGCTTTAATCCCAATGGACTTGGCTCTTCTAATGGATTATACTCCAATACCCCATCATTCTTTTCCTGAAAATCCAACCAAACACACCCTTCCTGAAAAAACTAGCTTCTTTTCATATATTTGCAACCATTTGATATTCACACTTTATGTTAAATGGTTATCAAATAATGTGATACGGAGGTAGTATAAAATAAATTAAAATTTATAAGAAAAATTGACGAACCTTATTGAATGAATCAAATTTGGGTCGTTTGGAGAAAAACCCATGTGAATTTTCACCAGAATCATCGAATTCTGCCTTGACTTTGACCTTTTTCCGGCATGATTTTTCCGGTGAAGAGAATTCTTCGACGGAATCCATGATTCTATGAACCATTTTTTTGAAACTCGAAGAGAGAGAATCAGAGACTCTGAGTTAACTCGGTGAGAAAGTGAGATGGAGTATTTTGATTTTGGTAGTGAGACAAAAACGTCAATTACAGCTATTCAACTCTATCCTATATAGGCTAGAGCACGAGTGTGGCGCGTGGAGTGACGTGGTACTGTTGAGTGTGCCACGTGTGATAGATGTGGTACTATGTACCTGGCTGTTGTTGTTCAAAGAAGGGAGATTACGGAATAGCCCTTTTGTCATTTACGGTAGCTAGATTATAAGAGTTGTGACTTCGGGTAAACGGGTCGGGTTTAAGTCGGGTTAGTGTGAGTCGGGTCATCTCGGGTCGGGTCAATATAGATTAATGTCATAACATATTTGGGTTGGATCATGCTTGAGTCGGGTCACGTCGAGTCATACATCTTATCGGGTTTAGGTCGGGTTAGTAAAAGGTCGGGGTACATTCGGGTCGGGTAAAAAATAGGTCGGGTTAAATCCGGGTCATTACGGGTTTAAACAAGTTAGGGTCATTCTCGGGTTCGATTCGGGTTCGATTCAAGTCAATTATTTACGGGTTATAATAAGGTCGGGTCATTTTTGGGTTGTAGTCGAGTTCGGTTCAAGTCAATACTTTGTGAGTTATAATCAAGTCGAGTCATTTTCAAGCCGGGTCATTCTCGGGTTCGAGTCGGGTTCGGTTCAAGTCTATAATTTGTGGAAAACATGTTTCGTCTTTGAAATTCGTCCCTATAAACATGTTGTGAAACTAACCTCTTAAAATTCAAAGTGAAATATTGAAGAAATAGAGTTAGGATTCAATTTTCGTTCCAATACCAACATGAGATAACGACCTATGCAAATTAATTAAATAACAAGTTGAGTTGAATTTGGGTCGGGTCAATAAGAAGTCGGGTTGATTCGGGTCAGGTTTGTAACGTGCCGTGTTGAAATTTGAGTCGGGTTTGTAGCAGGTCGAGTTAAATTCGGGTCGGGTTAGGAACAAATCGGGTTGAATTCGGTCGGGTTAGGAACAAATCGGGTTGTATTCGGATCGGGTTAGGAACAAGTCGGGTTGTATTCGGATTTTGACGGGTTAAAACGGGTTTGGGTCAATTTCGGTTCAGGTCGGGTTCGGTTCAGGTCAATAATTTACGGGTTACATTAGGTCGGTCGTCTCTAGGTCGGTTAATGTTCGGGGTCGGGTCTCAAATATTCGGGTCTAAAGTTGATTTCAGGCCGGGTTCGGGTCACCATTTTTTTCGGGTTCAATGGGTCGATTAATAGGTCGTTTTAGGGTCGGTATCTCGGGTCGGGCCAGCTTTTGGCTCTATATGTCCGTCCGAATAAAAGTTAATTGGATAATCTATGTGAGGATGAAGCTAATAAGTATATTATATATATATATGTATATATATATATATATATATATATATATAAGATTTGAAGAGTAAAGTTGACAAACTAGTCTTAATTTATAATTTTGCTTAATTTATTTTACTCGCAAAATTTTTAATTTTTGTGTCTATTAATATACTATCAGTAAAATAAAAGTTATGGAAAAATATAAAAAATAAATAAATAATTAACACCATAATTAGACTCTAACCCACCAAAACTTATCAAAGTAGATACTTCCTTCCCTCAAAAAAATAAATAAATAAATAAATAAATAAATAAATAAAATACTTCCTAATGTAAATTATTGTAAACTCATATTTCCTACGTCCCTATACTAGATTTCTAACATTTATTCTGAAATCTAGGGAGTAGTATATAAGTCGAAGTGTATGTTACAAAAAAATGAAATTACAAAAGGTGCAGTGGTCGTTAATGGCGGCTGGAATTGTCTTATATGGATGTAAGAGAGTCTAATGGGATGAGCTGGAAGGGTAGATAGGACACGTCAGCAATATTTGGAAGTATATGGGAGTTCACATTCACATTCTCGTGGCTGTTGTTGTTGTGGATAAAAACGTGGGGTCCAGATTCTTGAAGGTTCTTCATTGCAATTGCGAATTTGCGAGTGTGATGCGTGTGAGGCCGAAAGCTACGCTTCGCATCTAACCAACTTCTCTTATTGGTTCTAATTTTACACGTGGTTTATTCTAACAATTTATGTTTATATTTTTTAAAAGTTGAAATATTTATAGATTATTTGGTCGGAGAAGATTTGGATAAGGTTTACAACTTTCCAAAAGGCAATACTCCCTCGGTTTTTTTTTTTTTTTTTACATCACCTTTTTTTTTATACTACATAATTTTTTTTTTAATTGCATCACACTATATTTGGTAACTTTATACGGAGTATTATATTTTATCATTTCTCACTCTTATTTTAAACTCCACTCAACTTATTTTATTACTTCTCTCTTTTCCACTAAAATAATAAAAATCCTAGATATAAGCTCGTGCGATGCACAGTTCTAGTAAATATTTTTATTAATTTAAGATTTTTTTATATGAAGATCATTCAATATTTGGATAAAATTCCTAATATCATTAGATAATTTTTTTAAAAAAAAATTTTAACACTAAAGTTATCTTTTGTAGGTTTATTTATTTTACGTGACGCTTGAATTTAAAATTCCAAACCTTATTCTTTAATTTTGCTTAGGTGACAATTTAATTTTTTAATAAAAAATAAATGACAAATCATTTTATTTATTGGTTAAAATAAGTCCTTTGCAAATGCGTTTTCTTATATAATCGTTCTCTTTCAAAATGTTAGTCTCATCTAGAATATTTTAACTATTAAAAAAATTAAAAATTTCTCTCTATATATAAGGAAAAACATAGTGATATGAGATTTAGTTTTATTCGTTTCGATGAGTACATTATTAATATCTAACTTTTATAATATTTGATAGGGAGAGATTAAAGATATTTACGATCAAAGATTTACATCCATATATGTAAAAAAGATAATTATTAGTTTTTTAAATAGTTAAATTTTAATTGTTCATTATTCGTTATTTTTACCTAGATGGCAAAATTCTTAAATATTATTCGTCACTTTTTCTTAGAAGGCGAGTGAATTTTTTAATTCTAAAATAAATTATTAATCTAAAATTTCATTGGTCAAAATAATACCTTTTCTTATTTGGCGCACCGAATGCTCCAAAAAAATGCCTACTTTATTTATATATATTATATATATTTATTCTGCCTCACATACTTTCTATTGCATGATCCCCATCTTACAATAATTTATTCACCCACCAACAATATTATATTATTTTCCTAAAACTTTGTGCAATCCTAGATGATGCAGATAAAAAAAACGGAGGGAGTATTCTCCTTTTTTTTTTGTTTTTTTTAAGAGAGAGTCTACTGTACATGACTAATACCGCTATGTATTATAAATGCTATGGATCTGTTTTTATGCTATTAGCTATTCTATTGATGCTTTGTATTATTATTATTATTATTATTATTATTATTATTATTATTATTATTATTATTATTATTATTATATATGACCAAGTTATAATGAGAATCAATTCTATAATAGGAACTAAGAACTAATTAGGGTCGTTAGTTCTACCTCGAATGCGCGCTAGATGAGTGACTCAGATTAATTCATTCACTAGTTTTTGGCAGCGTGCAATGCACGGATTTATAAAGTAAGATTTTTTAATAATTATAGTCAATTGACATTAAATAGAGTTAATTGAAATAAAATGACTTATATAATAATTTTTTTTTCAAATTTAAATTTATTAATGTCTATCTTTTAAATTCTTAAATTAATATGTGTTGCATAAATAAAATTTATTAAAAGAATTTAAATATTTTTATAGAATTTTTTAAGGAAAATACATGAATATCATTTTGGAGGGAAAATTTTTCACAAAATTATTTGAAGTGTCCCCTTTGGTGATTACTTTAGTATATAGTATAGACTTCCCAACCATGTAGCGCACTTTCTTTTCTTTCTCTCTCCTCAAGCATTTTCTCTCTCCTCCATAGCAACGTGTGCCTGTGAATCTCCATTGAAGCGGTTTTCAAGCTTTTTCTACTCCAATGAAGCAGCTGTTAGAAGATATGCAAATTAAACGGAAACACTTATCTCAATGTTGTGTAGACCAATTGACAATAGCCGCGTCGTGGAGAACCACTGACCTAAAAGACGATTCCGCGCTACCTCCCGGTGCAGTAGACTAGAAGCGGTCGCCCTCCAGGATAAGCACGGCGCCGGATTTTATGTGCACTCACAAACCCGACTGGAACCCAGAATACTTGCCCTAAAAACAAATAGAAAGAATTCGTGTTTAGATATATATACTTTCGGAGGTGAATAAGGTTTATTTATAAGGCAATGGAGGGAGTAAAAACAACCAACAATTAAGGGGAAAATGGTCATCAATCAAGTAGTGTAACATCCACCCATTAATCCCCAATAAGAGCTAGCTTTTATCAACATTAAAAGGGATAGCGGCTAGTCTTTTTGTGACAACATTAATCAGCAATAATGCCTATTAAATTAGCAATAAGAGGAAGCTAAAATTAAGGAATTCCAATAGCCAGTAAATCCCAACAGTCAAAAGAATAAGCACCGTAACTCCTTTTTTTTTTTTTTTACTTCAAGAACTTCCAAGAATCCCCCATAGGTTCGAAGAAGTAAAAAGAAAGAAAGAAAGAAAAATGAATCCTGGGCAAAACAAAACAATTACATAAGTGTCAATGTCTCGCGACTTGAATTAACACATAGTGGACATCAAGCTATGATCTCTCACCTACCAAGTGACTTTCGTCTTGAACTCAATAGGGAGTTAGGGACCCGTCACTTTGAGCCACACAATTGAACATGTATAATATTCTGAAATTCCGCGAATAAAGATGACGCATTATACTAGCCATACGTCCAGCCTGGATGCTCATAGGTGCTCTAGAGTATAAGCCCACGAAATACTCATAGGAAGCGGCCACACTTCCACACCTAAGTAGGTGAACTCCATCAAGTGTGAGCTATAACACACCTCCAAAATATGGATATGGGTTCATTAAGAGCCGTATGCTTAACCTCCTTCTCATTTGTAGCTAAGCACAAACAAACATCTAGAGATGGACAAATAAAATAAAAATGTGCTTCCGA